CCGTGCTCTTGGCTCCGGGGCACTCTGCAGTAAAGTGGCCTGACTTCCTGCAGCGTAGACATAGCCTGGTTCTCCCGATCACCCCCAGACAGCAGTCCCCTGCCCTGAAAAGATTTCTGGCTCCCAGTCCCTCTCCCAGGGGTCTTGTGTTGGTACAACTTCACCAGGTTGTGCCAGTTCTCAGCATCGTGAGCCACTTGTATCCATCCCCCCAGGGTTAGGGGGTTGTGTTGGGCCAGTGCCTTCTCCAGGATGGTGGTATTCAGCTGGGCCCTGTAGAATTCAATCAGGACTTCTTCACGCCATCCTTGGAGTTTGGCGGCATAAGACTTTAATTCATTTGAATACTCTTGCACCGATCAACTGCCCTGCCTCAAACCATGGAGGTGGGTGCGTGCCTTCTCCATTTCAAGTGGATCTTCGAACTGGCAGCATAGGGCTTGCATGAAGGCATCCATGTCTCTCAACTCAGGTGCTTGGATGTTGTAGAGGCCTACAAACCAGTCGGCAGCACGGTCTCGGAGTCGGGACCCCACGTAGTCCACACGGTGTTCATCGGAGGCAAACGTGTGACCCCCACTCTCGTAGGCGCTTCTGCACCTGGATCGCAAAGAATGCCAGTTTTCCTGGGCTGCCGTCGAAAGTAGCTTCCAAGGCATCCTGGGGTCTCTCTCTCTCTGGCTTCTGGTCTACTCCCCAATCAGAAGGAGCCCCCGCTTGGGCTCCAGTCTCAGCTTCTCCCTCTGACCTCTTGGAGTCTTCTGTCACCATCAGTTCTTTGACCACTTTGGGGAGGTTTTTGATGAGGTACTGGAACCCTTCCTTAGCTCTCTCACCTCGGCCCTCAGGTCATCTTGGCTGCGCCCAGCCCTGGCTTCTTCTTCCCATTCTTGGATCACTTTTACCCGCTCCAGGTTATTGTGAAAGGTGCAGGAGACCCTGCACCACTCATGCTCGGGCCGGCTTTTTGCACCCCTGAAGCTTGGGGTGCTCACCAACCACACCGGGTCTTCCCATCGGTCTGGGCTATCCCTGCAGGACAAGGCAATTGTTGAGCTAGCACTGAATATCATCATTGCCAACGAAGAGCCTGATGGATATAAAAAACATAATGTTCTTTATACACATCCTTCTGTTCTTTATATATATATATCACAGTCCTTGAAAAAGTTTGTATTCGAAACGGGTATATTACTAGAGTCCCATGGGACTAGTTATTGTGGTACTGACAAGGTGCCGTCTGAATATTTGTACAGACTGAAGAGCCTGAGCCAAATGGCTCTTGAGGTAGTGGCAGAATTGCTGGGGCTTGGCTCTGGTTGCACTTGGCTGCCAGTAGGCCTCTGACCCTTCTTTTGATGTAAGATCTGGGTATGCTCTAGTAGTGGTGGGGATGTCATTGCTGGGGAACAGGGTTGGCCCTCAATAGTTTGACCAGGGTGGGGCCACCCCTGAAGAAATTGTCCTGTGTTGCTCTGAATAAACAAAAGTAAACAGGATCATTGTTGTTATTTTGTAATATAACTGTAAAATACGTTTTGATTTTTGCTTACCTTTTCAGGTCCTTGTTTATTATGTTAGACAGCCTTAACAGCTTAGATGGTTCTACCTGGTCAGTGGGCCAAGCCTGGCTAAATCAGGTACTCCAAAGGCATGACATTGCAAGGGTCCTGGAGCCTTTGCTTCTGCTGCTCCTCCATCCCAAAACTCAGCGCGTTTCTGTTCAGCGGGTGCAAGCGGAGTGCCACTGGAATAAATTTCCCTCTTACCTTGAAGATGAAAATGAAAAGCATTTTATGCAGAAATTTAACTGTAGCGGAGGCAAGTACTGTATTTAAGACTGCATTTCATGTATTTACTTAACACTATAAGTGACAGACCCTTGTAATCATTTAACATATGTCCCAATGGAGACTTATCACAAAACACTCCTTATAAGGAACACATTTTATTTGGGTCAGAGTTATGCACATGATTTCTAACCTTGAAAGGGAGTTGTCTAGAACTGGGAAAGGCATGATAGAAAATAGAACGCTGCTCTGGTATCCTACATGGATAAAATCTTCCTGAAGCATCTCTATATAACCACTGCCAGAGGCTATCTTTTGAATTAGATGAACCATTTTTCCCACTAGAAAAAGTACCAGTAGTGCTAGTCCAGTAGCACCTTAAACACCAACAAGAATTTCCAGGGTATAAACTTTGGAGAGTCCCATCTTCCTTTGTCGGATACAAGTACTTGTAACTAACGAAGGGAGATTTGACTCTTGGAAGCTTATACCCTGGAAATTCTTTTTGGTCTTTTAGCTGCTACTGGACTCAAACCTGGCTCTTCTACTGCAGATTAACATAGCTACTTACATGAAGTTACCAATACTATTCAGGTATTTTTTTACAAAATTTATGCCGTCTTTCTGCCATCATCAGGGCTACCGAGGAGGCTAACAGATTAAAAACACATATAATGCAATTTTCCCCATGTGTTCTTAGTTCTTAAGACATAAATTAGAACTGATAATCTGAATCTTTTATCAGTAGCAGCAGTTTTAAATATTCCAGAATTGTAACAGAAGTGGGCTTTGTCAGGCTTCAGAACACGTGGAATCCCTTTACGGGTAGGGTATTTCCATTCATTTCCTAATTGGTGAAAGTAGCTTTCAATATCATCGTAGCTTTTGCAGTTGAAACATACTGAGCTGGGTCCCCTGGATCTACTCAGCTAATGTTGGAGCCTTCCCTTGACCCTATAAACATTCCACTGACACAAGAGGCTCTTCTGTTAGCAGATGAGTCTCTTCATCAGGAAGGGTTCTTGCACTGGAGGAAGATGTTGAATTGTAGGAACAGATCTGTGGGGTCCAACCCCACTGGTTCTAGTTAATATATGATTTATCGGAATTAGTAGTCTCTAGTTGCAGAAAGGGGATGTTATGTCGCTTAATTTATAATATATTTAGTCAGAGCTTGCGCGAGTAGGAATCTGTATCTGTAATTTGTAAATTATTAATACATTAATTTTTTTTCTCTCTCCTTCTGGCTCCAGCATTTGTCCACGTGCCTCTAAGACAAGAGCAAGACATTTCAGTTAAAGAAAACAATGAAAAGCCACTTACTATGGATGAAATGGAGAACTTCAGTCTCACAGTCAACCCACTGAGTGACAGGATTTCCTTACTGAGTACAAGCAGTGAAACCCTCCCTATGGCTGTATCTGATTTTGACCTTCCTGACCATCAGATAGAAATATTGCAAAGTTCAGACTCTGGCTGTTCCCAGTCATCTGTTGGGGATAACCTGAGCTATGATGTGGAGACAGAAGGCATGGCTCCACCAGATGACTCTCAACATATGGGAAGAGATTCACCAGATGAAATTGTACAGCAGGTGGTCATTGACTTGATACACAAGGTTGTGAGTGGGCTGGGTGAAGATGCTGAGCCAGATAAGCATTACCTGTATTCAGAAGATAGCCCTGCTGAATTAAATGCATTGGACCCCTCAGAAGAGGGGAACAACTCCGAGGATCAAAATATTCAAGGCAGTCAGACCAGTTTGCTCAATGATAACAGCTCCCAGTTGTTATCTGTCTCAACCGAGGCAGGACTTGAAAGCATTCCCAATGAAATCTCCAGAAACAATTCCTCTCCTTGCATCTCAGTAAGCCAGCAGAGTCTCAGCGACTCAACTTTCATATCAACAGAAGCAAAGTCTAGACAGCGAAGTCACAGCAGCATCCAGTTCAGCTTCAAAGGGAAATTGCCTGAAAAAATGTCAGAAAAGGAAACCATTGTGAAAGAGTCTGGTAAGCAGCCAGGGGCAAAGCCCAAAGTCAAAATAGCCAAAAGGAAGGATGAAGAGAAGAAGAAAGCACAAGCAGAGAAGCTTAAACAAAGCAGTGTTTTCTTCAGCGATGGCCTTGACTTGGAAAACTGGTACAGCTGTGGGGAGGGGGAAATCTCAGAAATTGAGAGTGATGCAGGCTCACCGGGACTGCGAAAGTCACCCCATTTTAATATCCATCCATTATACCAGCACGTGTTGTTATATCTTCAAGTGTATGATTCCTCAAGGACTCTGTATGCTTTTTCTGCAATTAAAGCCATCTTGAAAACAAACCCTTCCGCTTTTGTGAATGCCATCTCTACCACCAGCGTCAACAATGCCTACACTCCCCAGCTGTCCTTACTTCAGAACCTTTTGGCCAGACACCGCATATCTGTTATGGGCAAAGACTTCTACAGCCACATTCCAGTGGACTCGAATCATAACTTTCGAAGCTCCATGTATATTGAGATCCTGATTTCTCTGTGCTTATACTACATGCGCAGCCACTATCCAACCCATGTGAAAGTCTCCCCACAAGACCTGATAGGGAACCGCAACATGCAGATGATGAGCATTGAAATCTTGACTCTTCTCTTTGCTGAGCTGGCAAAAGTGGTGGAAAGTTCGACAAAAGGCTTCCCAAGCTTTATTTCAGACATGCTGTCCAAATGCAAAGTCCAGAAGGTGGTTCTGCACTGTTTGCTGTCCTCCATTTTTAGTGCCCAGAAGTGGCACAGCGAGAAGGGAGCTGGCAAAAACATAGTGGCCATTGAGGAAGGATTCTCTGAAGACAGCCTCATTAACTTCTCTGAGGATGAGTTTGACAATGGCAGCACCCTCCAGTCCCAGCTCCTAAAAGTCCTTCAGCGGCTAATTGTTCTGGAGCATCGAGTGATGACCGTGCCAGAGGAGAATGAAGCCGGCTATGATTTTGTTGTAACCGACTTGGAGCACATCAATCCCCAGCAGCCAATGACTTCCCTTCAGTATTTACACTCCCAACCAATAACCTCTCAGGGCATGTTTCTCTGTGCCGTGATAAGGGCCTTACACCAGCACTGTGCCTGTAAAATGCACCCCCAGTGGATCGGCCTCATCACTTCTTCTCTGCCTTACATGGGGAAAGTCCTCCAGAGGGTTGTGGTTTCTGTGACCCTCCAGCTGTGCAGGAACCTGGATAATTTGATTCTGCAGTACAAATACGAAACAGGATTGTCTGACAGTAGGCATGTCTCTCTCTTTCCCACTGTCCTGGCAATTTCAATCCTTTTTTATATATTTAATTTGTTTCTTGGGAAATTGCAACTAATCTGATGTTTGTCTTTTAGGCCCATTTGGATAGCATCAGTTACTCCACCAGATATGATGCTGACCCTTTTGGAAGGCATTACAACAGTGATTCACTACTGCTTACTTGATCCGACTGCACAATATCATCAGGTAACTGTGCTTATTGGTTTGGCCACATCTTTGTCAAAGTATGTAAAATTTTCTTTTTTCATACTTGATTTGCTTTGGCTTTCTTTTTTTCTTTTTTGCTAAGAAAGGCAGCACTTCCTATGTAGACCTCAATTACGCTTCTAAATATTGAGTAAATAGATGTGCCTTACTATGAGGACAGATCAGGAGACTGTTGTTTAAGCCAGTCATTTGGGATGGTTTGTAGTAATGTTAATTTTGGATATACTCCTGTTTATTATTGAAGTCAATAGCTGAGCACTCATTGATATTAATGGAGCAGACTTCTGCATTTATTTATCATCCTCCACGGACACAAAGAAGATTAGTGTGTGTTGAGCGTATAACAGCACGGAAATAAACCTACCATAATCCCAAAGATTTACATTAACTATAATTAGTTTTAAACCAGAATTTGAAGCAATACGTGACTAGAAGACGTTAAAGGTTAAAATTCACCTTAGTTTGGACATAATGCTAGCCATGGCTTCCAAACAGGGGAAGAGCTGGAATGTGTGAGCCTAAAGGGGGTATCCCAGGTCTCTAAATCATGGTCAAGGGATGGGGAATCGTTGCATGTGCACCAAGCCGTTGTTTTTGTCAAGATGTGAGAATCTGACTTTTTCTTCTTTACCAGCTTCTGGTTACTGTAGATCAGAAGCACATGTTTGAAGCACGCAGTGGCATCTTGTCTATTCTTCATATGATCATGTCATCTGTGACTCTTCTGTGGAGCATCCTGCACCAGGCAGATTCTTCAGAGAAAATTGCTGCAGCAGCTGCTGCTTCTATTACCACTATTAATCTTGGATCTACAAAGGTCAGGGTATCAGAAAATTACATTGTCGATGTGTGGATGTGTGTGAAAGAAGTAGAATCACTTTCCAGACTGAACTATATGTTATTAAATGTACCAAATATAGACTAGTGAGTTGCTCAGAAGTGACTTGACAAGAAACCTTTTGAAAAAGGTGGTTTGAGTGATTTTTCTAGTATTTTCTGTTGGCCATCAGCACACTGATGTGTTTCATGCACGCACTGCAAGTAGGTGTATTCTTTTATGTGTTTCAGAATCTGAGACAGCAAATTCTTGAATTACTGGGCCCAATCTCAATGAATCATGGTGTTCATTTTATGGCAGCTATTGCATTTGTATGGAATGAAAGGAGGCAGAACAAAAATGCTGCGAGGACCAAGGTACATCAGACAAAGCAGCCATTTGAATGTTGTTTGGTTTAGTTTTAAAAGTGCTTAAAAATATTAATTTGCAAATTTGTAAGGTTGCAAAGGCAGAGAAAGATTTGTTTCCTGAGATAGTAATGCAGGACTTGTTTCTAAACAGCAAGGTATGATGTCATTTCCCAGGTCATTCCTATTGCCAGTGAAGAACAGCTCCTGCTGGTGGAGTTAGTTCGTTCAATCAGTGTTATGAGAACAGAGACCGTTATGCAAACAGTGAAAGAAGTTTTAAAGCAACCACCAGCAATTGCTAAGGACAAGGTATGGATATGAAAACAGTGGCATTGCTATGAGTTTAAGGTGCTCTTTAAATTTCTCAGAGAATATGCTTGAGGAAGAAGGCCAAGATATTTTCTTCCAGTAAAGTCTAGGATGATTTATTTGATCAATTGTACGTGAAATAACTATATGGAGGGTGTATAAACAACTAAATTCTGTCAGATCTATTTGTCATATTGGATTGGTGTTACTTGGATGATTTGAATTCATCAGTAGGGATAGGCACGAACCGGCTGATGAACTAAAGTTTGTCAAAAAAATTGGCTGGTTCGTGGTTCGCAAAGCAGTGTTCTCGAACTGAAGAACTGCCATGAACTTTCACAAATTTTAATGCAATTCGTGGTAGTTCAAGAAGAGCAGGATGCAGGGATTTAAACTTTTTGATTCCTCAAGTTTACGCTGGGTAGCCTGTTGTGGGTGTGCAAAAGTAACTTAATGTGAATGATTTGGGATGGAACTGGAAAGCTTATTATTTTGGGGAGAACTCTGAATTTAAAGACTCTAAAACAGCAACTTATTTAATTTATTTATACTGTGTCCAATAAAATATCCTGTCTATTTGTTGCTGTTACAGGGAGAAAAACTTTATAATGCACTGTCTGTCTTCATAAAATGCCAAGAATAACCTTTCTGTAAATGGATTGAGTTACAAGCATAGCTCCTGTAGCTTTTTATAACTGGCAGTGGAGCCTTTGGCTCAAGGCAGAGGCGAAGTTCAAATATTTCATTAAAACCCTGAAGATACCCATGGTTAAGTAGCGTGACATGTGATTACAGCAACCTCTTTAATTGCCCTGTCAAATAGTCCTATCTGATTTCAATAGGATGTGTTTACTTATTTTGTTTCCTCATTTTTGGTCTTTAAAAATACTTGTCTGTCTTGTTTAATGCTTTTTTATATTTCTAGAAGCATCTGTCACTGGAAGTCTGCATGCTGCAATTTTTCTTCGCATACATTCAGAGGTAAGGTTCTGAATAATTTTTTTATCTCCTCCAGTGTTATCAAATACAGTACAAAAATAATGAAGTTAGCAGCTTTGAGCACCATGTCCAGTGTGGAAGAGGAGCTGAAATCTAATTCTAGATGTTGAAAACTCACTTTAAAAAAAGAAAAGAAAGAAAACTCACTTTTGACCATGAAATTAGGCTCTCATGGTAGCTTGGAATTCCATGGAATTTCTTTCCTTGTCTTTTGGAGTTCTGTATGTTACCTATACCACGTGTTGGGACATTAAATTAAATCAACGCAAATTTTCTATTCTAACATTATACCATTTATTTGACAGCAGACTGCAAGATGAAAAAGTACTACAATGACAGGCTTTTGAGACTTGTGTGAGGTTTCCTTTTATGACGCTCTCTTTTCTTGCAGGATCCCAGTGTCCAACCTAGTAGACAGTTGGGCCTCACTTCTGCTTCTTCTGAAGGATTCCATTCAACTTGGCCTTCCAGCTCCAGGGCAATTTCTTATACTTGGGTAGGTGTCCTGCTCTCCGCAAGTGATAGAGCCTTCTGTTCCTCCAGAGGAAACTCCTTGCACTGGAAAAGGCTCTGCTTCTAGTGGAACAAATTCATAAGCTGTTACTCAGTCAGTCCTGAAATACTCCTGATAAGTAGCTCTTGTGATACTGGAAGAAATGTTGATTTCTGGTTGTACCACAAAAGGAAAGCTATTGAACTTCCTTAATAATCTTTTTGTAGAAGTTGAAATCACAGATGTCTTAAACCTCTCACTGAAATCTAGGATGTAAAAGTTCTTACCTTGGGCTGGTTCATGGCCTTATTTATGGTGATACCTTAGCTGGCTGATTTATTTTCACAATAAGTAGTATGTTTTGGGGAGCAGTCTGAACATTATATATACACTAGGAATAAGGCTTGTTGTGAAAATAAATACAATGAACTCTAGAAAGGGGCTCTGGGAGAGTGCCAAGGCCTTGGACACTCCGCATCAATTTGCTGTGGCGACTTCCTCAAACCCCACCCTCTCCAGGCTCCACCCCTGAAATCCCCAGGAATTTCCCTGCCTCGAGTTGGCAACCCCATCCCCTTCCTAGCTAACCATCAACCTACCGTTATCTGTCCCTCTGACGGCGGCTGACTTCTGCCCTCCCTCCTGGAGATCAGTTGTAATTCTGAGTGATCTCCACCCCTCACATGGAGATTGGCAACAATGGTTCCCCAGGAGAAAATGGCTGGTTCAGAGGGTGGAGTCTATGGCATTGTACCTGTCTGAGGTCCCACCCCTCCTCAAACCTCACCCTCTCCAGGCTCCACCCCTCAAATCTCCAGGAATTTCCCAACCTGGAGTTGGCAACCCTATCTCCTTCCCAGCCAAGCATCAACCTGCCATTATCTGCTCCTCTGATGTCAGCTTTCCATCTCCTCCCCCCTTCCGGAGATCAGTTGTAATTCTCAGTGATCTCCACCCCTCACCTGGAGATTGGCAACAGCGGTTCTCCAGGAGGGAATGGCTCGTTGGGAGAAGAAGAAGACAAAGAAGAGATTGAATTTATACCCTGCCCTTCACTCAGAGTCTCAAAGCAGCTTTCTTTCTTCGCATACAAACTCCTTTCCCTTCCTCTCCCCACAACAGACACCCTGTGAGGTAGGTGGGGCTGAGAGAGCTCTGACAGAAACTGCTCATTCAAGGACAGCTCTGACAGAACTATGGCTTGCCC